AACACTTTAAAAAAATGTCAGACTCCATGAAGCCCTGTGTGACCTGGCTACCCCTTCCCAACTCTGGGCCTCTCTTCCCACTGCCCATGTCCTGTTGCTAACCTTCTCCTCACTCAAATCAAACTTACGCTTCCATCACAACCTCTCACAGCTGACCCCTACTCATGATGATTCAGGTCTCAGGCCAGACATTCCTTGCAAGATCTTCTCTGCCCAACTTTGTGTTAGATGGTTTTGCCCAACAGTAGGTTAATGTTGAGTGTTCTGAGCACATTTAAGGTAGGCTAAGCTATGATGTTCAGAAGGTTACGTGCATTAAATGCATTTTCAACTTATGAAAATGATCAGTATTGGAATGTCCTGAAAGTTTGCAGTGTATGAGACCTTCAGAGTCTTCGATGACAGATGACATCTATATTACAGTGTTTCTTTCAACCCTGATTCCTTTTTTAATGGTATAGCATTTTTTTTTCTTTAGCGTGTTCACTACATCAGGAGCACATCTACAGGTTAAAACTCCTGCAGGATTTTTCAGTATTTTTTAGTTACTTAAAGTATACATGTGGATTTTAAATCTTGAAATCTTTGTATAGTTATAGCTTGGACTGGTTTTTGTATATACTGTGTAATGTTTTCCTTGCCATAGCCTGAGAACTAGACATTGTCCTTATATACAGATGAAGAAACTAAGGCTCAGTGATTTTCTTTCCTCAAGTCCTTAGCAAAGCCTAATAAGTAGTAGCTATTACTTTTGTTTCTTGAGGTGAAACAGAGTATTATCACGGCAGCAAATTATTGAAATCCTCTTATCCCTCCACTTGCTTTTCACCACCCTGCCCTAACTACAACCTCTCCTCCCCCAACCCATTCAGTATGTCATCAGCCCTGTAACCATCATGAAAAATTATATTCAGTCTTGGGGCAAGTAAGATACAGACTTTTTTTAAAAATAGATCTTTCAAACAATGTTACCAGCATGCTGACATCTTCATAAAAATTAGGGATCCTTGAGGTGTCAAATTGACTAACGCACCAACACTTGAAGAAGCTCAATATCCAGGAATGAGAGACAAACTTAAATACCTATCTTGTGTTTTCGTAGGTGTGACCTACTCCCTTGAAAAGGCCATTTCAATCTCAAATTTCCATTACTGTTTATCATCCAAAAAATATTGTTCAGTAATGCCTCATCGCTATACAAGACTTGTGCCAATATTTCTCAGGCAACCTTGTCAATTTGAGTTATAGTATGTGCTACTTAGATACAGTAGAAATGAGTTTAAACTGCTGAAGACACTGGATCTTTTCAAAGCTGTTCTTCAATGTTATGAAAGAGAATAATCATAGCAGGCTAATTTGTAGATTCCCTATTCTTCTGTTCCTTGTTCTTCTCTTTCCTGAGGCCTTAGGCAGAATTCTGTCATTCATCAAAATCACTTCTGTGTTCAAAACCCCATTTTTCAGTATTGAAAATACACAATTTTGAAAGTTAATATAATTTCCTATGCAGGCTTTTAGCCCATACTAGCCTTACCTACTACCTATTAATATCTTTGTAAAAATATTTTATTACACCTTGATCCCTAACTACTTTATACAGAAAGGTAAATGAACTTAAAATATGAGGAAATTCCCTCTTTTGACTTATGCAAGGATCGTGTCTAAAGTAAGAAATAGATCCGTATGAATTTTTTTCACTGCCACTAAGGAATCTCCCACAACTTTTTCATAAGTTGCAATTCTGTTACTCTTTATTTCCCAAGGATAGAAAGAATTCCCTTTATTGATTGATTGATTGAAAAAATAAACACCCTGAGTTGGTAAAAATACCAATTACAAGAGTGTCTACCCTAAAAGTCAAATTCATTTTGTTTATTACTGCAAGTTATTAGGGCTTCCAGGAATGCATATAAAATACCTGAAAAACAGTGGTTGAATCTATCATACTGACCTTAATTTCCTTAAAGTAACAAAGAAAGAAAACCAAATTCCATGACCAACAACTGGAATTACACAAAGAAAGATAATACAGCCTCACAAAGGTGTATGTGAAACATAACTGCATCTAAGTTAGATAAGTCTCTGCTTTCAAAAGAGAAAGTCATACTCCAATATCTGTCCCAATGAGTTCCTTTAACCATTTGTCTAACACTTAGTGTACCTTCTGAAATTAATCCCTGCAATTCTATGTAACTGCCATGAGTTGGCAATGCAGATCATTTTCTTTTGTCTTTAGTTAGTCTTCATTACTTGACATATCATGGATTCTTTTCAGGATAGTTCTCTATTTTTCCCTGAAGCAACTCACATGTTCACTTATATACAATTCAAAAGATGTGCTCAAATTTTGAAAATCAGACTGTAGTCTAGATAAAATAATTTTGCAGATACATATAGTTGCATCATGTTAGCTGTAACTCTTCTCATTTTTAAAAATATTTTATTTATTTATTCACGAGAGACAGAGAAAGAGGGAGAGAGAGGCAGAGACACAGGCAGAAGGAGAAGCCGGCTCCATGCAGGAACCCCAATGCGGGACTCGATCCCTGGTCTCCAGGATCACGCCCTGGGCCTAAGGTGGTGCTAAACCACTGAGCCACCCGGGCTGCCCTCTTCTCATTTTTAATCAGATAAATGAATGTTACCATATCCCATCTGAAAGCTGATGTTCTCCATTATCATGCTAAATGCCTATAAAATATATTGTGACATGGATGTTCCAAATATATGAATAATCTATAATTGAACATTCATCTGGTCTCTAATATTTTATTTAAATAATGTCATGATAAGAATTATTTAAACTTTGAACATTCACCCAGGTAGGAATGATTATATTACTATTTTTTATATATAAACCAAAAATACCAAAATTTAGCAACAGTTTTAAAGAGTTGAATAGCAAAGCAATTTTCCATATGGATTAAAAAAAAAATCCATTATTACCTTCATTCTGCTTTCCTGTGTAGTTCAATGAACTATAGAAAGCAAGTAATATAAATGTTTTTTTTTTAACTGTTTGATTAGGAAAAAAAGAAAAGGCCCTCCTAATAAACACCATGCAGTCTTTCATACTGTCTTCCAAATATGGAAGATAGGGAATTACTTCTGCAAACACAAAAAGGGGGTATTGCCTTTACGGGGATGGGCATTTGAAGACACACTGCTGTGCTGACTGTATAAACTTACTTTGGCATTTAGATGAGAAATGTACCTATATGGAACATTTTCATTCAGTGCAAAGATGTACCTTGAAAACCTCCTGAGCCACATACAGCACAGATTAATGTCATGACTTTTATATGTTGAAGACAGAAAAGTAACTGAGCTCAGGCGACTCTCCAGAGCATTATCTTCCATGTGGTGATTGAGCAACCAAGGCCACTTACATCTTTGAATATGCCATCTCAAAACATAGCCTCTTCTGTTGCCATGGCGATGAAAAGGTCCACTAGAGGGTCTCCTCCATTGGCAGTTAAATGCTTTGACACAGTTAAATCTGCTCATAGTCCGTAGGCCAGAATGAGTCACATGGCTCCATCTAAACTGAAAAGGCACTCATGGCCTATTTAGCAAGCGTGACTGTCTTTGTCACAGACATTACAAGGTCACTTACTATCTAATTGTGTTGTTTTCCTAGTTTCTGTCATGGCTGTTATGAAAATCTAGATGCTCAAGAAAAAATTTTGGAAGTTATTTTTTATTAAAGAAGTTGAGCTATAGTCCTATTGATGGGTGGGGGAAGCAAATAAGTTGGAGAGTTTTAGTGAAGATTCAGGACAAGGTGGTAAAATCAGTCCTTGTCAAAGTGCAAGTAGTTCAGCTTTCCTCTAGCAATGATGTCAGCATTTCCCAGGTAGATAATTTTCTTTTATTTTCTTCTGAATCCCAGAAGTAGCTGCCATTTCTAAAGATCTTTTTTTCCTTATGCTTACATCTATGCATCTATAAGTTTATTCTCTTTGTTTGAATCTAATAGAACTGTTTATATCATACACAGTTGGCATGTTCAACTTGCTTCATTTATGTTATACAACTTAAGGATTTTGCACACTAAAGGTACTCAATAAATGTATGCAGGAAACTTAAGTATAGCACATGTATATGAAGGCTATTTCCTAAGAAAAATGTTGAAAGGAAGGAAGGAAGGAAGGAAGGAAGGAAGGAAGGAAGGAAGGAAGGAAGGAAGGAAGGAAGGAAGGAAGAGAAAGAAAGAAAGAAAAAAGAAAGAAAAAAGAAAGAAAAAAAGAAAAATATAGGTAGAGGAGAACCTTACCCTCTCAGGAAAGACAGTTGAAATTCATACAATAATTGGAATAAAGCTAAATGTAGAGTGAGATCAGAGTGGGGTATTGGTCCCAATACAGGCAAAGCATGATCCTTGACTAGAAAGAGAGCTCGCAGCTTCCCTAGGAAATACTAGGGGAAGGGAGCTGCCTCTTGAGGAAGCAGGACCAGGACAATACCAGCTAAACAAGAATCCACAAAGAGCCATACATCTGCAATGTACATCTTTAGAAATCCAGGGTCGCAAGCTTACATATTCACTGTTTGCCCTTACCCCATTTAGGTCTTACTGCTTTGCAACTCTTCTTTAAGGATATAGTAAATTACTTACTCCAATATGGTCAATATAACTAATCTTTAGTAATTATCAAAAACATTGACAGTCACCACTTCATGGTTCAGTTGCCCTACTCTAGTTCACATTAATTGAAGTAGGCAATCATGGAGCCTTTGCTGGTAGAAAAAGATTTTAATGCTATTTAAAGAAAATTTAAAAAAAAGTATTCCCTTCTGACAGAAATTTGCATTCTGATAATATTTTATTTGTATCTTTTTTTAATGTCATGACAAGAAATGGATTTGATTTTGAAGAGGAATCATTTTGAATAATTAACCATGAATTACTCTAATTAGCAGAAAATAATTATAGGTTGGACATAAGCTCTTTCGAAAGCAAAGTATAGCGTAAAAGACTATTGGAAAAATAATACCACCTGATAGATGTTGAGATGAATCCAAAAGAGAGCTTTTCTTTGAATCAATCTTCAACTAAGGCATTTAAATGCCTCCCATTAGAAAACATTCATATTCCTGCAAGACAAAAATTATTAGCAAGCATATGTTGTTGGTTAGAGAATCTTTAGTGTTATAATTAAAGAAGACATCTTTAATGCTTCCAAAAGTAGAAAATACAGTTTTACTTGTTCTTTTCATAGCACTTTCTGGATCTGAGACCTTGGATAGACTTAGCATATTTGTACACTGTATGTGGAGTTTAACTTATTCATTTCCCTTGGAAAATGTTTGTCAAATGATTGACATGACAGAGTTGCACTTGTGGTTCTCATCTCCTGAGAAGAGCTTGTGGAACAGGACATGTGGCAAACTGATAAGAAAAGGTAACAGATTTCATTTGCGATTGCAATCAGTTTCTGTAAGACCATCAGCAGGACCTACATAAGAGCTCACACTCAAAGTGCAGTACACTCAAAGTACATTTTTGAGCTAAACACAGCCCAGAAATGGAACCCAGAAGACACACCCCAGATATGGCACCATAGATAACTAGCTAACTAAAAACAGATAACTAATTGTCTGACTTGAACAAGTCTCATATTGTCTGTTTACCTCTTTATTGCTAATGCCATTCATTTCACAGGATTGTAACATGGAGAAAATGCAACGTGAAATTAACTTTCCAAAGTTAAAGCAACAACAACAGATATAGTGTTATTTGGTCAAATGTCGTGTTCATATATTTGATTTTTACCAATAAAAACATACCGACACTATTAGAAATGAGAAGTATCTGGTATATAGTCGAAGAAAGCATAACTTAATTTTCTATGAACATCATAGAAAAATAAATAGAATAATGCCTTATTCATTAAGGCATGCTTTCACAATTATTGAGAGCTAATTATGTAATAGTGCATCTTTACAAAGTAAGTATGTAGTGGCATTCTAATTAGTGGTCACAAATGGTTTCTTGGCACGTTTCATTATGATTTTCAGTTAGGTTCCAATTTAAAGAATAACATCCTTGGAACTTAACCTTGCTTTTTTCTATATTCTCCTGCCACCATCTAGGTTTTCTTCACTAATCAAAATAGTGGGATCAAGGTTTATACATAGAATAAATAGCTCTTCCTACCTGTTCGAAAAAAAATTACAGCACCCCTCCATCCTTCCATCATATCATCTTCTCTCCTTTTCCCTTCTTACCAGAAATACTGAATGAAATATTATCTTTAGTGAATCATCATTATAACACATATTGGTTGCCTGGGGGAAGAAAAAAGCCCAAGAATCTCCTTCGGTCTTCTCCCATTTATTACTGGCATGGATTCTTTTGTTCAATTAGCTAAACTAGTTTTGCAGGTGTAAGCCAGTTGTCCTTTTGACTAGGATTTCAAGAGAATCTCTCCAGTGGTTGTAATAGGTGAATTTAACGTTCCTTTCAACCCTAAAATGTTTTATTATAAGTAGTTCTGTGTTGCCCAAAAGGAAGGGAGATACTAAATGAAAGTGAGGAAGTGAGATCATCAAGGATAATTGCACACCAGAACTGGTAGGCAAAAGCATGAGTGAGAAAAAACGGACTCTGATACAATATCTAACAGGCTACATACATCCTAACTTCTCAATCCTTATATCTATTCTTTCTGAGCAGAGGAAGTAGGATTCACCCAAAAAAGGGTGAACCTCTCCAAGGTTCTTTGGAGAGGAGGGGAACGAAAAAACTATGTATATGTTCCTCTGGTGATAGAAAAAATTTACCAGAGAATAACAAGGTGGATATATCATTCTTTAGGGGCTATTTAGATTTTCCTTGAAATCTTAAAAGCTCCAGCAACCAAGGAACTGAGCTCTGGCTTCTTGGTGACAGAATGGACTGGTGGCCAGAGAATGGGCAGAAGCTATAACATCTCCCTCTTCCCTTGCCCACTGGGCCTTACCCTTTGATCTTCAAGAACCTCCTTCTTCATCTGGCCTCTTACCTTATACATACCTGAGGGCTCTGATGCATATATTGGCTGAATCTTATTTCACAGAAGTATCCTTATAGGTATGGTGGTGGGACCATTGCAGTCTGTATCTGTAAGGATATAGAAATACATACCATTTACTTTTAGTCAGTAAATATCTTGTGGATTAGAGGAGAATGTCTTGTCATGTGGCAATTCCTAGGGGAGGCCAAGGATGAGGGCTGATTCCTAGTCCTGGTCAACTAGGTGGAGAAGTAACTCTCAACTCAAGCCTCTTGTGTCATCTTAATAGGTTCTACCCCTTGAGCTACAAGAGTGGGACCCTCAGGGTACTCCGTGGGAGGATAAGCATGATCAGCACCGTATCTTGATGGGATGAAAACTCAACATAGGATTCTCTTGGAAGAGAGAAAATGAATAAGAATTCTAATAACCCAGCTTTAATTTTTTTGATTGCAAAATTAGTGAAATAATTAAAATGAAGAGGCATGTATAACTTGACACAAATGAATCAATGGTTAGCAAGGGGTCTGAATTATAGATCATTCTAACAAATCTCTGTAGCCAGGTAGAGGAATCTGCTTTAATATTCAAAACAGATTAGTACTAACAGTTCTCATTTTCATATTAGAATAGTTCTAAGACTTCTTATGCAGTCTATCATTCTCTTAAATTAACTCACCATGTACAGAAAATATATAAAAGAACAAGATAAAATTATTTATCATTTATTCTTTTTAAAGAATTTTAAAAACAGCTTTATTGATATATAATTGATGATTATATATGTAAAGTGTACAAATTAGTAAGTTTTGACAATATGTATACCTTTTAACCATCACCAGAATCAAGACAGTGAATATTTCCATCATCCCCAAAAGTTTCACATGCCCTCCCCCATTCCCAAGCAACCAGAGATCAGCTTTTGGTCATTATAGATTACTTTGCATTTTCTAGAGTTTTATACGAATGGAATCATACAGTAAGAATCTTGTTGTCTGTTTTACTCAGCATAATTATTATCAGATTCATCCCTGTTGTTGCCTGTTCATTTTTACTGTCAATTCATTTATTTCTTGATGGACATTGGGGTTATTTCCAATTGTTGACTATTACCAATAAAGCCACTATTAACATTCATGTGAAAATACAAATTCATATAGCTTATGATTTTTTTAAGGAAAACATTTTTTTCTTTATAGCTCATTATCTTAGCAAGGTAATATTTATAATCTATTAGCAATATATCATTATTACAAATTGTTTTTGCCTTAGGTTAACTGCATCCAGTTAAAGAACTAGTTATAGAGTATTAAGTATGTATAAAGCTTTTAATGATAGCCTATATAAGAGCACAAAGATGGATAGGAGGTACATAAATAAATAATGGGAACCCAAAGCTGAACAAAGTAAATGTCATAAGAACAACAACAACAAAAACAACAAATCTATGGGTTAGGGTCGCAGGAATAATATCCACTTGAAAAATAAGAAATTCACTGAAAATAGGTAGTTAGCTGGAGACTTTGAAGCATGGGTAGGATTTTAGCATACAATGTTGAAAAGAAGTATGCAGTTGCAAGCAAGGAACATAATTAGAGCTTAGAGGCAAGAAACATGGGGTGAATGCTTGGATGAAGCACTCCAATTTAATCAACTCTATGGTATGTTGGCAATCTCCCCTTTCCTCAGACCTCTTTTGGAACGTTTGATTCTGCACTTTGGGTTAGTTCAACAGCCATTCCTTCAGTGCTCATAGTAATAAGCACTGTGCCAAAGCAAAAGAATAAAAGATGAAAAGGTACACATGCTCTCTGCTCTCAGATCACTTACAATGGGGCAAATCGTTTCAAGTATCATGGTTACTAGAGATATGCTTGGAATGCCGTTAGATGGAGAGGAGCACCTAACCCAGCCCGTGGAGTGAGACAAGGCTTTCCAAAAGCAGGATGAGGATGGTTGGAACTCTGTCTACGTTGACCAGTCGGTGGTAGGTAAAAACCAGAAGCAAAGGTGTTCAAAGCACAGGGGAGAAAAGCATGAACAAAAATAAAAGGTTTGTGACATAACATTTGATTTTGAGAAACTATAGTTCAGGATTGCAGAAGCATTCATTGGAGTGGTTTCTAATGGGTACCATTACTGCTACAATTGTGGTGTTTCGTGGGGATTTTTGTATGTCTGGTTTTTGATGTGATACTGAGATGGGAATGTAGTTTTTGGCTCCCATTGTAGGCCCAAACCTTTCATTCGAAGACTCTGGAGTTACTAATGGTGTTACATTCTCAGAAAACCTACTTACTTATATGAGGTGTTAAATGTTGTTATACGCAGAAAGTGTTCCTCCTACACTTAGCTCTGTTTTCTCTACCCTGGTCTCATAAATCTCTATGTTTGAAATAAGTTTGAAGACAGTAAATTTCAGACAGGATTGTTATTTAAAAATATAGGCTTTGGGGATCCTGGATGGCTCAGCGGTTTGGCACCTGCCTTTAGCCCAGGGCATGATCCTGGAGTCCTGGGATCGAATTCCACATCGGGCTTCCTGCATGGAGCCTGCTTCTCCCTCTGCCTGTGTCTCTGCCCCTCTCTCCCATGAATAAATAAATAAAATCTTAAAATATATATATATAGGCTTATCTATAGTATGGGTATATATAACTAAATATGCTTTTCAATGGGCTACTAGTTCAGCCTGTGATGATCCTGAGTATGTAAATAGCAGAAGCAGCATCAGCGTTTCATTCACCACTTGGTTTTGTGGCAATTGTGCATCACTACAGAAAGCTGAGTCTTCATGACTTCTCATTTGTGGAGCTCTGCTCAACTACAAAAGAGGCTACTAAGTGCAAAGATATGAAATCAGACACTACTGCAAAATGTACATTTGTAAAAGTGAAGCACTTTATTCTCTTGCTACATTCTCTGATTATGCTATTTATTTCAATTTTATAACAATACAAAATGACATATGCCATTTGAAATTGCCTATACTCACCAAATAAAATGGCAAATTAAAAGATGTAAATAGTTAAGTTTGAAATGTTTCCTTCAGGGATCCCTGGGTGGCGCAGCGGTTTAGCGCCTGCCTTTGGCCCAGGGTGCGATCCTGGAGACCCTGGATCGAATCCCACGTCGGGCTCCCAGTGCATGGAGTCTGCTTCTCCCTCTGCCTATGTCTCTGCCTCTCTCTCTCTGTGTGACTATCATAAATAAATAAAAATTTAAAAAAAAAAAAAAAAAAAGAAATGTTTCCTTCAGTTATCTAGATATTTGAACTCTGGAAGCCTTGGATAATTGCCTCATTCAACTCTTACATGTATGTACAGTAAAAGAGAGAAAAAAAATCCTCTGAAATGTTCATATTTTCCCCTTATGTCAACATTAATATGTCATAATATTTTTTGTTTTATGGGACTCATTTCTAGTTGATGCAGAATTTTAAAGTGAAGATAATCACAATAATTAAGGAGTAAATGTGTAAATGAGGGCCTGATTCGAGTTATTTCATTAACATAAATTCATGGAAATTTGGCAACTGGAGGATTAAAATATAGATTTTAATCTAATCTGTTTCTGTACTTTTCAGTTCTCCTAAAATATCACCAAAGAAAGGGCAATAGTAGAGGATTAGAAATGTGTAAAACAAAAATCCTGCAAGCTATTTCCTGTTCTTTTGTGGCTGTCTCTGGCATAGGGAAGTTCTTAGAAAAAATTCCTGTGAATCTGTTCTATGAAGAGGAAGGGAGGTGGTGGAGAAAAAAAGCTCACCTCTCCAAATGCAGCTCTAGTGGTGTTTATGCTAATCAGCTCAGGGCAGACTGAGCCCTCTAGTGTGAATGGGAGCCTGGCAGGGTTGGCCCAGGGTCCTACAGCACCAGGCAGTCACTGCCTTTCACCTCATGTTATCACAAATGAATTGCTTTATTCCTTCTGACCAGTGTGAAAAGCCAAGTAAAAAAGCCTAAATGACAGCAACTACACATATCTTCTACTGCAGCTGAATGGAACTGGCTCCCAGCAACATTTCTCTCAGCACGTCTTACATAACTGTTCCTCTCTCTATATTCCCACTGCTATTCCTACTTTATCATCCTGTCTCAAGACTGAGGTTCCAGATTCAGGTCTAAATCCCTTCAATTTACTGCCAGAGTGATCTTCCTTAAACGCTGATTTTACTGCATTCTTGCTTTTTCTGTTTCCTACAGTTAAACAGAACCAACACCTACTTAGAGTCAGATGAACCAGCCAAGGTATAATTCCAAACTGACAGAATAATGTTAGGGTGATAAGCTGGCAGTGCTGGACCAGCCTGAACCAAGCATGTTGGGAGAGCATCTTTCAACAGGATGAACCGTGTTTTCCCTGAATACAAAATCACAACAGAGGAGTCTTCTATGGGGTCAGGAGGAGACAGTGAGATAATGAATGTTAGTACTGAATCTGAAGTGCCAGGGGTTCATCTTCGTGGAAGTATACAGTTGCAAATAAAGATATGGAGCTGATCAGGGAGGTCTGTTGTGAGAATCTTCAGAGAGGCCTGGGGGTTTACTTGACAGAAGATGATGAGATGGCCAAAGACGGGTTTACAGAGTGTAGGGATAGGAGGACTGATTGATCAGACAGGGAGAAGGACAACCAGAAGAGAAGAAGAAGGAAGAGGGCAATGAGGAGAAAGTTTCTAGAAAGAACAAGCATTCATCAGTTCAAATGCCAGAAGTTAAGACCCAAAGTGTTTACTGATTAGGCCAGGGAGATTACTGTGAGGACAGGAAAATGCATTTAGCAATGAGGCCCAACCTTTTCAAGAAGCTTACTAGAGAAGGAAAGGAGTCAAGGCATTAAGTAATGGGAGATAAGGAAGGGACTCATAAATGGGAGTTAACAAAGCAATCACTAGATTAACATCATCAAGTGTGTTTAGAAAGATTAACCAAGGAAAATGTTATGGGAGAAATATAGAAAGCAAGTACTTAGGCAAATGAGATTAGCAACAATAAAAATAGAAGGAACTTGAATTCACAAATCTCTCTTTCCATCTTCACCTCATATTTAGATCCAAACAAAAACACACCTCTACGTTCTCCATCAATATTTCAGCTCATCAATT